TTCTGTGTGTGTGTGTGTGTGTGTGTGTGTGTGTGTGTGTGTGTGTGTGTGTCTGTGTGTGTGTGTGTCTGTGCGTGTTCTGTCTCTGTGTGTGTGTGTGTGTGTGTGTCTGTGTCTGTGTGTGTGTGTGTGTGTGTGTGTGTGTGTGTGTGTGTTTGTGTGTGTGTGTCTGTGTGTGTGTGTGTCTGTGTGTGTGTGTCTTGGTGTGTGTGTGTTGTCTTGGTGTGTTTGGTTTGTTTTGGTGTGGGGTGTTGTTGTTGCTTGTTTGTTGTTGTTGTGTCTGTGCGTGTTGTCTGTGGTCTGTGTGTGTGTGTGTGTGTGTTGTGTTTGTGTGTGTGTGTGTGCTCTGTGTGTCTGTGTGTGTGCTGTGTGTGTGTGTCGTGGTGTGTCTGTGTGTGTGTCTGTGTGTGTGTGTTGTGTGTGTGTTCTGTCTGTGTGTGTGTCTGTGGTGTGTGTGTCTGTGTGTGTGTGTGTGCGTGGTTGTGTGTGTGTGTGTTGTCTCTGTGTGTGTCTGTGCGTGTGTGTGTCTGTGTGTGTGTGTGTGTGTGTGTGTGTGTCTGTGTGTGTGTGTCTGTGTGTGTCTGTCTCTGTGTGTGTGTGTCTCTGTGTGTGTGTGTGTGTTGTCTGTGTGTCTGTGTGTGTGTCTCGTGTGTGTGTTCTGTGTTGTGTCTGTGTGTGTTGTCTGTGTGTGTGTGTGTGTGTGTGTGTGTGTGTGTGTGTGTGTGTTGTGTGTGTGTGTCTGTGTGTCTGTTGTGTGTGTGTGTGTGTGTGTGTGTGTGTGTCTGTGTCTGTGTGTGTGTCTGTGTGTGTGTTCTGTGTCTCTGTGTGTGTGTGTGTGTGTTCTGTGTGTGTGTTGTGTGTGTGTCTTGCTTGTGCTGCGTCGTGTGTCTGTTTGTCTGTGTGTGTGTGTGTGTGTGTGCCAGTCATCTGGCTGAATCAGTACAGACTCTGACTCTAGAGGGACACCTACTGGTAGAACAAGACTTGACATGCCGGGTTGGTTTTAGATGGATTCTTATGTTCCTGAGTAACTCTGCTCTTCTTTAGCTCGTCTTTACAATCACAGTTTGAGGATTTTTGCACGGCTGTTCTTGCCAGCCACCCTCATACAGGTCCATTGTCAAACACCAGCGGCAGAAGCCAGACATCCAGCCAAGGTGGTTGATTGTCATCCTCCATCTGTCAGCAGCTCAGCCAAACCTCTCAGTCAGTCACCAGCTGCCAGTCTGAACACAGCTAGTTAGCTCAGCCTCTGGCTCTTTGTCACTTTGTCACCCTCTTCTTCTTTTCGTGCATTTTCTTCTGCCATGTCAGCATTTGCCCTCTTTTTCATCTGTCAGGTTATCAAACAGTTGATGAAGAAGGAGTTCACCCTGGAGTTCTCTCGTGATCGCAAGTCCATGTCTGTCTACTGCACCCCTGTCAAGCCCGGGTCCCAGAGCAAGATGTTCATCAAGGCACGGCTGAATAACACGAACTCAAATAATCACAAATTTCATTTCATTTGAACCATTTTTTTAATGTTCTTCTTTTGCCAATTGCATTGTGACCCCTCAGGGTGCGCCCGAGAGTGTGATAGAGCGGTGCGAGTACGTACGGGTGGGAAACAGAAAAGTGACGCTGACACCAGCCGTGCGCGACCAGCTCATGTCTAAGATCAGAGAATGGGGGACGGGCAAGGACACCCTGCGCTGCCTGGCGCTGGCTACGCACGATACTCCGCCACGCAAGGAAAACATGGAGCTGGAGAATTCCAGCAAGTTTGCAGAATATGAGGTTCGCCACAAGATTTCTCTATCCAAACATCACAGCTTAGAAGTCCTTTTGTTCCCACATTGAATTGAAATAGGCTTTGTTAAGTTTAATGAGACAATTGGGTACTAGTTTGCTTAGTAGTAGTTAGTACTTTCTACACTTTGGTCTTCGCTCCAATAGTTTCTTTGTTCTTTAGGAAGAATTTGGATCGGATGTTTTTTGGCAGCAGTAACAGTAGAAAGCTGTTCCTGATGTGGTCCTGCGTAACCTAACCACCCTGATGCTGTTTGTTTTCCGTGTAGCTGGGGCTCACATTTGTTGGCTGTGTGGGCATGCTCGACCCACCCAGGAAGGAAGTGATCGGTTCAGTGAAACTGTGCAACGAGGCAGGTATCCGTGTTATCATGATCACAGGGGACAACAAGGGCACGGCCGTGGCCATCTGCAGACGGATCGGCATCTTTGAAGAGGACGAGGACGTGACGAGAAAGGCCTATACAGGCCGCGAGTTTGACGATCTACCGCAGGAGGTGCAGAGAGACGCCGTCAAACGGGCACGGTGCTTTGCCCGCGTGGAGCCGGCTCACAAGTCCAAGATCGTTGGATACCTGCAGTCGTTTGACGAGATTACAGCCATGGTAAGGAAAACTAACCCCGTACAAGTAACACACCTGCGTGTTCCAGCATCTTCTTCTTTTTGTGGCAGTGCACAGCACTGCTGCCTTTCTCCTTCCTGTAGCCATTCGCTGTTTGAATGACTTGTCAAAGATGCGTGAGGAGAAGCCAGTGAGGCATGACATGTTCCAGGTCTCTGTGAGGCTGCTCTCTCAGACGCCGCTATCACGAGCTGTCATCTCTGGTCTGCTCGGCTGCTTCCTATCTGACATGCGTCTCAGAAGAGAAGTTGATCCGCGGGAAGGAAATTACAATATCACCATTTGCCCGTCAGTCTGAAGCTGCTTTCAGGCCCTGCCTTGACAGATAAATATCGCTTCTGCACAGCTTTAGTTTAATCCCGTCATGGTGTGAAAAGATAATGAGCCTTTGCACAGTGAGTTAGAGTCGTTGCTTGTTAAACTTGGGGCTCCCGAGCGAGTCATCCTTCATGAAAAATGAGTGTGGGCTCGGTATTTGAGAGTGGACTTGTTCTTTTCTGACACACATGTACTGTCACAGTGTTGGACTCTGAGGGCCAAGTTTCAATGCTCAGCTTATATCTCTAAGTAAGGACCATTTAAGGATAAGCAAGTCTTATTGAGAGACGCTTTTTAATAAACGATACTGTTGACGTTTCCTTTAGTGCCCCTCTGTTCTTTGACACGTAATAATCCAGGTATTTCCTCCTGGTTGCAGACAGGTGATGGTGTGAACGATGCCCCGGCCTTGAAGAAGGCAGAGATCGGCATCGCCATGGGATCCGGTACAGCTGTGGCAAAGTCAGCGTCTGAGATGGTGCTGTCTGACGACAACTTCTCCACCATCGTAGCTGCTGTGGAGGAGGGCAGAGCCATCTACAACAACATGAAGCAGTTCATCAGATACCTCATCTCCTCAAACGTGGGAGAAGTCGTGTGGTGAGACAAGAGCGCCGTGAGACGCAGCTGCCGGGCGGGGACTGTCTTCGTGTGCGGCTGACGTTTGTGGGTCTCTCCTGTGTCTGTCTGCAGCATCTTCCTGACAGCCATCCTGGGTCTGCCTGAGGCTTTGATTCCAGTCCAGCTGCTGTGGGTTAACCTGGTGACTGATGGCCTGCCTGCCACCGCCCTGGGCTTCAACCCCCCAGATTTGGACATCATGGATAAACCACCCCGCAACCCTAAGGAGCCACTCATCTCTGGCTGGCTCTTCTTTAGATACCTGGCCATTGGAGGTATTATTCACTCAGACGTGAATAAATTATTGTGCAGTTGTCACTGTGTGGGGTGGTGCGGTGGTTAGCACCGTCACCTCACAGCAAGAAGGTCTTGGGTTTGAATCCAGTCAGGGTTCTTTTAGTCTCTCGCTGCATGGGTACCGGGTACTCCAGCTTCCCTCCACGGTCCAAAGACATGCATGAGTTAACATTAACTGGTGATTCTAAATTGTGACTGGTTGACTGTGTCTGTGTGTTAGCCCTGCTGATTGGCTGACAGGGCTGTCTAAAGAGCTTCTGTGCACCTGCGCCCATTTTTTAAAATCTAATAGCAGAACAACTTGATGCATTTTCTAACACTTTATCGATGGTACTTTGTATAACGTGATTTTCACACTATAAGCGCACTTAAAATCCTTTAATTTCTCAAAAATCAAGTGTGCCTTATGTATGAATTCTGGTTGTGCTTACTGACCTCGAACCGATTTTATGTGCTACACGGCGCTCAAAATCTGTCAAAAATGTTTTAGTACGACTTTGCTAAGCTACAAAGCCGCACCGCTGATGGGTTGTTGGACATCACGGCTGTAGTCAGGAGCCTCGCAGGGAATCTGGGTCCTAAACTCCGTCTTTCAGGTCCCAAAGTCAAACAAACACTGCAGCATCACTGAGAGTTAAAAACTGTCTAAATTCTTTCATCTTTAATAAAATGATCAGCGTTGCTGCTTTACCAGGTGTAACAATTAAGTTTAACATCCAGGCATCCATGAAAACAGAATTTATTAAATTTAACAGAGTTAGAAGTTAGCAGGAAGTTAGCTCGCTAGCTTCCACCTAAGCATGATATAGCATGTTCTGACTGAGAGATTTCTGAAAATTCAAACGTACAGCTCTGCTATCACTTCCAACATAAATGAAGACAGAAAACTAAACAGCAGTGACGTTTGTAGGGTTACTGAAGTTGGGCTAGCTGGTATATAATGATGTGCTGTGATCGCTAGCGACACAGCTATGTTAGCATAACATAAACACAGTGAAGCTGGAGGATGAACGCTAACTTTTTTCCACTCGATAAAAGTTAACGTGAAGGTTCCTGATGGTTAGAGACAAATGCAATCGCATGGCAGGATGCTGTAAACCATAGGTGTCAAACTCTGGCCCGCGGGCCAAATTTGGCCCGCAGCCTAATTACATTTGGCCCGCGAAGCCATACCAAATTACTATTAGAGCTGGCCTACTGGTATTATACAGCTAATATATATATTGTTTAGTATTAAGCTTTGCTTGTTCCATATTCAGTTTTCCAGCAAAACTTATTTGAGTCCATAAGAAAAGATTCATTCTTATATCTGGAGGAAGATTTTTTTTTCAATAAATATTAATGTTAGCCCGCACTTTGTTCCAGTTTTGAATTTTGGCCCACTGTGTATTTGAGTTTGACACCCCTGCTGTAAACGGACCAAACTTCAGTCAGGAGAACAACTGAGATAATCCATCCACAATACGAGGTTAGTCATTAATATACTGCAACAACATGGGAATAGAGCAGCTGCCAGAGAATTCAACATTAATGAATCAATGGTACAGAAGTGGAGGAAGCAAGAAGAATGAGTTGAATAAAGTTTGATTTATCTGACTGCTTTGTTTCGCTTAATGTGCCTTATGGGTCCGAAAAAATACTGTACAAGATTTAATGTTTTAGTAAAACGGCGACTGTCAGTAGGCCTAGCATCTTTTTTTTTTCTTTTTTTCTTCTTCTAATCAATCACTCATGTCAGCATGTTTATTTTCCTGAACAGCTTCTCCTTTGTAAGGTTATTACATTTTATTCTTCGCACACTGAATAACTGTAACCTTACACTTTGTCTGTATAATATTAAATTTGTGACTGTGCGTCTATCAATATCTGGTTTTGTCTCACAGGCAAGAAACGGCAGCTCTTGTTTGTGTGTATAAATATAAATGTATGTCTGTGTTGTCTTGCAGGATATGTGGGTCTGGGAACAGTGAGTGCAGCCACATGGTGGTACCTGTTTGATGAGGAGGGCCCACAAGTGTCTTTCTATCAGCTGGTGAGTTGTAAAACCGTTTATCTGGCGTAGCTCCTGCCCTAGGAGAACATGAGCTGCATTGTTTCCTGTTATACTGTTTACCCCACCTCTATGCATCCTTTTCATTCGCTGCTATTTGATGCAGTAACGTTTGATGATCCCAGCAGCAGACAGGCATAGAAAGGGAATTGAGATTTCTGTGGATTGATTGCATGCAGAGCTGAAATGAAGCCAGGGTTTGGCAGCTGCCCCCCACCCAATCTGAGCAGAGTCCCATCAAACCAGGTCGCAACACACGATGCATGAGCGCACGCTAACTCTGCCTGTCTCTCTCTTCACAGCGACATTTCATGCAGTGCACTGAGGACAACCCCATGTTCAAAGAAATAGACTGCGAGGTGTTTGAATCTCGCTACCCCACAACCATGGCGCTGTCTGTGCTGGTCACCATCGAAATGTTCAACGCGCTCAACAGGTCAGTCGGCTTCAGAGCTGGTGTCAGAGTAAACGAGCCTTAAATGTCACAAACGTCAGAAATTTACTCAAAGAAAGCGACGCTGTCATTCGACGAGACAGAGCTCCCTTTGAGGAAGAACGATCCGTGCCAGAAAGGCCACGGCTGTCGCAAACATCAGCTGATTTTTGTTTTTATGTCCTCCACCTGAAGAATGTGCTTAAGCGCACATCTTAAGAAGAGAAATTATACTTTATTGAACGGAGCTATGAAGGGTCATTAGCTCTGTTTTGAAAGAAATGTCCAACTCGACGAGGTCTGATCACCACTTCAGATGGAGTCCAAAGATGGTCCAGCCTAACGCCGGCACATCTGTTCATTTTCATGCAGCTTGCTGGAATATTTTCATCAGTTGTTGTTTTGCAACCTGATCCTGAAATGTTAGCATGTTTTCATCTATCCAAACTTCTCCTTACAGTTTGTCTGAGAACCAGTCCCTGCTTAGGATGCCTCCCTGGGTCAATATTTGGTTGCTGGGAGCAATCATCCTCTCCCTCTCCCTCCACTTCTTAATCCTCTACGTTGAGCCTCTGCCAGTGAGTACACAGGACACGCAGCTCTTTGAGCGTTTAAAAAAAACCAAACACTGCATGCTAATAATCCTCAGCACTGTATCGTGGCTCAGATTCACGAGCCGTGTTTTATGAGTCCGATTCTTTTGCCAGTGATGACACAACTTGTCTGTCGTCTGCAAAAAAAGTAGGATGGCCCTGTAGGTGTAATGTAATGCAACAGCCAAATGAAACTATAAGTAGCTAAGTTCATAGCTAGCGTCGTGCAAAAAGCAGATACAGAAATGCTGTGAGTCAGACAGAAGGCGTTACAAAATAAAGGTTTCCATGGCTCCACTGGATTATGTTTTCTTGCAGGCTGATGTCTTTGCATTTTTCAAAATAGTTACAAAATATTAAGCTTGCATGTTAGAAAAGGCTTCTGCTGCAGCTTTGTCAACATCATCGTCTGATTTCTCTTGTCCTTCAGCTCATCTTCCAGGTGACCCCTCTGCGTTGGTCCCAGTGGATTGTGGTCCTGAAGATTTCCTTCCCAGTCATCCTACTGGATGAGGCTTTGAAATATTTATCCAGGAACCATCTGGAAGGTATGTTAAGTCCTACCTGTTTTTAATTTAATAAGCAATTTTTTTTCAAATCAATAAACGAATCTAATGATGCTTGTTCTGCTCTTTTTTCCTTCTCTTCTGCATTTCTAAATCAGCCTAAACTCTTTTAATCTCACCTTCTGTAAAAAGGTACCTGACTTTCTTTGTGCTGCTTTCTTCCGTCTCCATTCGAACCTGCCTGCTGTCCGATGGTTACGTGTTCTAAGCCTGTGGGTTTTTGTTTTGGCAGGTGATGAGGAGAAGAAGTATCGGAGGAGATGGCAGCTGAACTAAGACCTCTCCCTCAACACACTCACACAGTTAGACACACAGCTACCCTCTTCCCATTTTTGAGCTAGGAAACGTTTCTCTCCCCTGCCCTCGTTCCCCACTTCTGCATGTCCAACAAACCACCACTAGAAATGAGGGGTGGCTTGCATGAGAATGAGTGTGAGAAAGCGAGAGCGCTTGTGCTCCTGCAAGCATGGCTTTGTGCGAGTGCGTGTTGTGTGTGTGTGTGTGTGTGTGAGGACACAGATGGATGCAGACCTGTCTTTATAGTTGCAAGAGCAAGAAACAACTGCAGAAAAGAAAAATACAACTGGGCTCTGCTTTTTAAAGGTTTCTGCTCATCTTTTTGTTGTCTGTACAGTACAAACATAGTGGTGGACTTCTGGGGGGAGAGGGGAGGATGGGGGAACAGACATTGATAATACTGGGTGGGGTGGGGGTGGGAGTTTTAAAATCAACACAGAGACCGAAAGAGAGACTGAGAGGAGAAGAATCAGATGGACACACTGACAAAAAAGCAAAAGCATCAAGGAAAGGACGAGGAAGGTGAGAACAGCCTGGAGGCGCTGTGAGGAGAGAGCCACGGTACCCACGCGTGTCCACAGAAGCATCATTACCAGGAGGCGCTGCCCAGGCTTCTGCCATCACACTACTGGCAGTGAATTCCAGCCAACTCTGGCCTTATCAGCACAACACATCTGTATCTCTGGCCAGTTTGTCACAGCGCTGCTCCTTCATCACTCCTCTGTCGTTTATGCTCAGTTCCTCTCCTTCGGCCTGTCTCTGCTCTCTCTTTGTCTCTTTCTCGCTCTCTGTGTGAGGAGGCAGCTGTGGGCCCGGGGTCGTGACTCTGTCGGGCTCTTTGGTGGGGTTGGGGTGCGGAGGTGTCGCTCCGCCTAAAGGTGTGAATAGCTTTACGCTGCTTGGCTGCTTCCTTTGGCTCTAAATTCGAGGGGCTGAGGTCGGCTCACACACTGGGCAAAGAAACGAAATTTTAAAAAGTCAAACAGCAACCAAACCAGCATATCAGTAGAGTAGTTGTGATCCAGCCCACTCAGCTGGCCCTCTTTAGCTTCACTATAATGTCCTTCTGCTTCTTTGCTGCCACTCGAAAATCTCTGCGAGTCATTTCATGTAAAGGTTAAAGGTGGACGGGAAACTGATGCTTCAGGATTCCTGCGTCATGCCTTTAATCCGCTGTGTCACACCCTGAACCAGCGCTGAGGTGTGTGTGCGTTATAGCCTTACTTGAATAAAGTTGTCTAATTTGATGTGATAGGCTTTTCCCCCCCGTCTGAATCGCACAAACGATGTAGTTTAAAGTAAGTTAGAGAAGTAAGTGGCTCGTCCCAGCGTCACGTGGACATTAACAGTGTAGATATTAAGCACATCCATGCCTTACACAGCCCACTGCACCTCCACATTAAACATGTGGTCCCGATGAATGTGTTTGCTGACCTTTAATGAGCTCGTTACCCATCACTACCACTTTGCACTCGCGTGGCCGGACCGTGATTCTCACACTGATCATGTGAAGTCTTAAAGACTCTGAATGTGGCGTGTTTTTTGGTTTTCTTGTTCTGCTTTGTGCGCTGCTCCCTCAGCTCCTCCTGCTTTCTCAGTGCTATAGCATTTCATTTGGGTGTTTTATAATTCTTAATAATAATAATGTGTTTGACTGAATGAACCCGCAGGGTTTGGATTGTGTCTTTTAAGTCTTAATTCTGGGTTTTGTGTGGGGCCCTGGTGCTCTGTGGACGGGGTCGGCTGTGTTTTTGGACTCTTATTGCTTCCACATGCTGCAGAGAAGAGCGTGTACACATTTTTAAAAAGTCTTTGAATAGGTGGAATAAAAATGGGAATCTGCACACTGTGTCCCTCATACTTATTAAAGCAATGATATGTTGTGGCTGTTGTGTGTTTAAAGGTAGAGCTGCAGTGATTGGTTAAAAACACTGAAGCACTACAGCCATTAAAAAAACAAACACTTTGAAGTTGAGCTGAGCTCCCCTTCGAGGTCATCTTGTCGTGTACCTCAGTCCCTGGAGGTGCTCTTCTGACCACTTGTATGTGGTCATATACATGTGGTGATGAGAGGTAATGGTGATCATCTGAAGGAGGACGGTAAACAACGTGAGCTGAGGCTCGTGCCGCCGCTCACCTTAGAAGCGTTTTGGCCGTGCAGACTTTGGGAGCTGTCTAAAAACAGCAGCTGGGTAGAAATGAGTGGAGGTAAACCTCATCCTGGAGCAGGAGCTCTGCAACACAGTCATCTTCTTTGTGTTCTGACCAAAAAATTACTATATTCAGCAGACCTGGTATATTAAAAATGGCTTTTACTTGCAGCACGGGACTTGAGGTTTGTTTCATTTTTTTTTTAATTGAACTGGGAGTTATCAACACAGTGTGCAGATCTTTTCCCCCTTTCTCCTTTTCAGACAGCATTTCAAACCCAGTACTTTTTTCAGTGTGATGCAGAAAATTTACCCTTCAACACAATCCATCCAGTCTGCAGCTGTTGACTGTGGCGTATGCAGCTGTGCTACGCACTCGTTTTGTTGCTTGGTGATGGGGTTGTTTTTTTCTCGCTCCAGGGAATAGCTCGCCAAAGTATAGATGTTTCCAGTTTCGCATGCTCTCTGGGGTCATTCTTGGAATGCACAGTAGGAAACTGACTTAAGTAGACGAGGCAAATTAAAACAAATACACTATAAAGTTTGTTAAAACACCTCACCAGTTTTAATATCTATCTATATATATTAAAAAAATAGGTTTTAAGAGCAGACTAGTCCTTTAACTATAGACCACAAGCTGGATTGTGACTATACTTGACACAAAGCAGCCTTTATGTTAAGGTTGAGCTTTTCATGATTTCCCGTCACCACCGTGTGAATGTGGCACCTCTTTCCAGACCAGCAGATTCCACATCCCTGTCCCAGATCTCCAAGGCTCTGTAACATGCTGGCACGATAGGTCTGCGTAGCCTTGTTATTTACTACTGAATCCTCAACTCTGTACAGACGCTGAGAAAACGATCGCATGGAACCTTGTTACTGTAATAATAACCTATACAGTATATAATATTTAATTTTTTTGATAACTTGCATCAATGAAAACCTACTTACAACAAGAGACGGACTTACAAGACTTCCTGTTTTTCTTTTTCTTTGGAGCACATGGTATCTAAGGACCTTTGTTTCTTGTCTGTTTTGGTTTATTTGTTTCCTTGTAGAATAGAAAGGTTGTTTCTTCATGTTTCCATTTGGTTTTTACACTTGTGGGGTTTTGTGTCTTTTACTGTAGGGAGAAGAATATGATGATATCGTGTTTAGGATAGACGAGATTAACGCTTACGCTAATAAGTGGCAATGACATGGAACATTTCAGTGATAGCTAGCTGGTGTGAGGATACTCAAGAAATTGTGAACGAACAGTGTCTGGTTTACACTGAGCGATAAGCAGTGATGAATCCTGGGATATGAAGTTTCATGAGTGTACATTGAAGGGCTTGGTGGTGATGCAGGCTCTAGAGACCCCTTTCAGATCTGGGACGTTGCAAAGCTCTTCCAGCTTGGTACTCCGAGTCCTCCGCAGTCTGTAAAAGGCTAACCTCCTTTACTAACAGTGAAGGAGCGATCGGGTTGAGATGATAACAGCTGACTAGTGAACGCGCCTCTAGAGCCTGACCTCCACCTCTGAGAAATTAAAAGGATTCTCTGTGTTGCCTTGTTAATATTAATTGTGGACACATAATTTTATAAATGACAAAGACGTGGAAATAAAGATTATTTATCTTGTTATTTATTCAGAGGCTGTGGGTTTTTTGTTTAAATGGATGATTGTCAGTGCGCCCCCCCCCCCCCCCAACACAGGGGACAGTCTTCCATATGTAAATAAAAGCACGAGGCAATAATGAGCAGATGATTTGAATACTATAGCTGTGTCTCACTTCAGGGGCTGCATCCTTCGGTGGACCCGGCCCACGTGGACCGTGAAGGCCGGAAGTGCGAGGTTGTGAGATGGGACGGTCTAACCTTCACCGCTGTCTCAGTGGAGTTTAATAAACTCAGCCGTCTGCTCCTTGCTATCTAAAATGTAACAGGACACCAGAGTAAACTCTTGACCATCAGATTTACTCAGGAACAAATCAAACACTGAAAAATATCATGTTTGTGCCGGGAGGCCGCTGTTCTCGCCGGCTCCAGTGAGCCTTGAACCCCGTCACTATCGAGCTGGTGGGTAACAGACGTCTCCGAAAACATCGGAGCCTTTTGAAATATGTGATGTCTTGATAAACCGAGCAGATATTTGAAGTTTACACAGCTACATTCTCGCCTGAAAATATGTTAAAAGTTTATTTTGTGACCCAGAAAGAATAATATTTAAACTTTAGCCACGTCTCAACTAGACTGCGCCATTTTTGAAAGTACTTTTTATATTTTATAAAATACTATAGTAATTAAATTATTATTCAAAGTATTGAAAAGAGTAATATTACAACTAAGTAGCGGCCGCCATTGTTGGAAACTGGAATTGGCTGCTGTGCTATGAATTCTGGGATATGGTGGTCCACGAAGGACACACCCCACCCATCCTCCAAATCTGGGGAAAAGGAGGACGCATTTGTCTTCGAATTGGGACAGCCTTCGGCGCATCGCTGTGACGTAATCAGCCTTCAAAGGCGGCCCCTGAATTGAGACACAGCCTATGTTTATTTTCAAAATAGTAAAGACAACATAGTTTGATGCCAACAGGTGCATTTCAGACAAATTAGCCACTCGGACGTGCGGAGAATATCCCAACCACGAGACGACCCCCTATCAGCAAGCACCTGGTGACTGTGGGGGGGACCTGCCGCAGGATCAGGGAGGGGCAGCCATTGGCTGAGGGACATGGGACAAAAGACACTCTGTGAAAGAGATTAATAACAACTAATGATTAAATGCAGTGTGAAGAATCCTTAATCAGCCACATTACAACAGGATGGGTCAACAACGAGTTTAAATACTTGGGCCTCTGCCAGTGTTCAGAAACGAAGAAGTCTCTTGGACGGGGGTGAAATGTCTTCACAAACCTAAAACAAATCCAGTTGCCTTCATTCAAGAACGTCAAGAGCACCGTGACCTGGATGGACCCGTACGGTCAATCCTCTGAGTTTACCAGCAGCTCTTTACAAGAGTCGTGATTTATTACAGTTTACTTTTAAACGTATCACAAAATTAAAAAAGGAAACAAAAAGTATTTCTATGAGGTCATTTCTTATCACAATTTAGGAACATAAGGACAACAGCAGAATGCTGCTTCAATGACACTGAAAACACTGCTCTGATAAAACCGTGTGTGCCCTTTACATGCTTCACACTCTTCACATTCTCACACAGTGAAGGAGCTCTGCCAGCAGGAGCGGCTTTCTCTTTGCCGTGAACAGAAAGCTCTTGTTCAGTTCAACTCTGCAGAGATACAGATGTAGTGGCCATGATTTCAAATGCAGTCAAATCCACTGATTTTATTATTATTGAATTTAAATCAGTGGAATAAAACTGAAGGACAGCTATGGGACCAGCAGGGGGAGATGTTGCATCGCATTCCTGGTGCATCTGTGCTGTTTACTAAGTGGGCCTGTTAAGATGCTATATGTAGCTTTTATTCTGCAGCAGCTGCACTGATTGTGTCCTATAACACCAAGGGAGAAAAAAGACCCAACAGGATGAAATTAAGTTTCTCCATCACACTCCAGCCTAGCAGCACTTTCCACTTCTCCAGGAAACCTAATCAGCTGCACACACGTGCCAGATATGCTTTCTCAGACCTCCCATGTGAGAATGGCACACATGCACGCACATTGTCTCCAGAGGGGGAAGTTCCTCTCAAGGGCCGCAGAGGAGGATCTCATTAGTATTAGGTGGTTTTTTCCAGCAGGACAGATGCAAGACAGCATTCAGCAGAGACACTGTCCCAGTGAAAGGCAAGTAAACACACAGGCCAAAGATAGGAGTTGGGAAAACTAATGGAAAGACTGCAAAAGGTGTTTGAGGAGAATTGTTGCGTTTGCTTAAAGTGAATCCTGCCAGGATCCTGTTGATTTCATATCAGCAGGAAGAGAATGTCCGAACTGTGGTTTAAGACGTCCTGTGAGACGAGACCACAGCGTTATTGCTCTGAAAACACACACCTCTGCTTTCATTCTACATGTCAGCATGAAAACTGAATAAAATGAATGTCTATGAAAGAAAAAGCCCGGCCGTTGTGCAGGTGAAATAACAGCACCCCTGAGGCTAACCTGTAAAGCATCAGCAGAAAGAAGGATGAAATTAAATATTATTCTACTTCAATGTCCAACTGACTCACACACTTTTTTCTTTTTTGTGTGAAGCTGTTTCTACCGATTATGTCTTTGTGAAAAAGACCATATTTGTTAAAATGCAACCATGCAAGACAAGAAAAAATAAATAAATCGATAACGTCGCTAAGGCTAAACAAGCTCCGACTCAAGCAGGGATCCCTGACCTTTGATAATGATCTGGTCATGCCACATGCCTTCTTTGAACTCGTTTCATGCGGTCAGTCCTGTTATGCACATACAAGGCTGTGCTGTGGCCGATTTGCACCATGACTCATTTGAAAACAAGCAGATGCTGCTCACAGTCCAGCAGGCTCTAAAAAACAGGAATGGCTGGGAAAGACTTGAAATTTGAGGAGCGATTGCGCTGCGAGGACATTGTGCCCCTTATCCCATGGTGTCAGCCCGTGTTGTGCTGTGAGGCTGGAGCTGTTGCCAAGAAACCAAATTAACTTGCTGTGAACTTCCACCGCGGCTGTGACAGAGAAGTGAAGAGCTCAGAGGCTGTGGCACATGTGCACCACTTACTGCAGCTTTACAACTCAGAAGCCTCCAATGTACTGTACGATACAGCCGGCTGCAGTTTAAAGATCGTTTAAGATTCTGCACTGAAAACATAAAGTTGATCCAAGTAACTAGAGATTGGAAAATCAAGTGAACTGACAATTAATATCTGTTTAGTTTTAATAGTTCCAGCTTCTCAGGTGTAACAATTTGTGGCTTTTAATTGAAACTATTTTAAAATAATAATAATAATTTAATCATTTATCTTCACACACACACACACACACACACACACACACACACACACACACACACAGAGCTTCTAACAGCTGATCGATGTTGAAATCCGTGGGTGTGCCAAGCATCTTCTCTCTGTCAGAGTTCGGCACACTGGCCTCTTTCTCGGCTCTCTGGTTCTATATGTGAAAAAGTTCAGATCGTCTCATCTAAAAGTTTCTGCAGATTCCTGCTATTGTAAAGTAATGGTTCACATTTATCCATCTACTAACCAAGACAGCGCAGCAGCTCGTTTCAGAGTTACAGGTAAAAGGAAGATAAAACCCTGTAATGAGCTCTGCTGTTTGCTGTTGTTTAGATTAGCTTTGTGCAAAGCTGTTTTTAGACTCACAAGCAAACACTCACACCCTGAAGTCAAACATTTATTGATCATCAACTATCTGCTTTTTTTTTTTTTTTTTAAATAAATGGGTGGTCCTTGTGTGGGACACTTAACCATAACCTGCATCGTTCATCATATATATGACGTGGCACAGGTTTATAAGCAGGCTCCTCATAGGCAGTGCAGCAGTGTGATTACACAAGTCTGTACAAATCTTTGACTGGACATTTAACCTCCTAGGACCTGCGTCCACATATGTGGACATCACATTCTTGGTCATTTAGACCCAAATACTCAATTTTGCTCTACAAGGGCCTGATATCCACTTACGAGGACGTTATACTGCTACTGTTCTACTGAAATTTTAAACAAATGCCCTCATTTGTGGCTCTCATTTTTCTTAGAAACAAAAATTGGGCAAAAAAAAAAAAAAAATCCTGTAATTGTTTGTTTTTAGATTCATCAGGTCAAATCAGCCCAAATATCAAAGATAAATTAAAAATGCTGTGAAGAGTTCGGGTCTTACAGGTTAGAGACCAGTCCACTGATTTGCTCACCTGTCTGACTCACACTGGGCACTCCAATACATGAATACATAATTAATTGAAAAAAAATTGGGTTGACTGCCTTGAAAAAAGTAAAGTGGTGTCAATACTACTTTGAGGGTAATATTTGTTCTTCTTTATTACTATAAAACAGAACGGTCCCTAAAAACTAATCAGATTTTACATTTTCCGAGTGTTGGATGCTGCACATCTGGAGTCAGCCTAAAACTGACTAACTTAAAGTGTGAGGTTTTTGGCAAACCCACGTCCCCTCATCAATATGGAAATTCATGCAAACGTCTGCTCCAGAATCTAATTGGATCACCTACTGCATATGGACTGAGCCGTAAGAAGCCTATGAAGTTTGTATCGTGTCAGACATGTTCATAAGAGCACGCCAACAGCTGCACAGAGGCAGGAAGGAGCCGCACTGCTTGTGAGTTTGATATCAGGTCTACAGTTTGAGTAGGAAGTCAAGCTTAAACAGCTTTAAGCAGAAATGAAGAGAAACCTGCTGAGGTCTGGTTAGCTCACCTCTTTTTACTCGTTTCATCTCAAGTCAGCAAGACTTCACACAGCTGACTATTAAACCACCGTGTTAGCTTCATGTACGCAGCAGTACTTTAAATGCACGCTAGGATCATGCAGCAGTGGCAACTTACTGAGTTGCAGGCACCGGCACGCTCCACCTTGGTGAGTCCAGACAGATCCGTCTTGAAGACATTCATCTTCTCGACCAAGGTGGTGAGAGCTGTTTCTGTGGCCTCGCCCACCTTCTCATAAACCCCTTTGGCCTGCGAGAGAGAAGAAATTCATCAAAACACATTGATCAGCTCTTCCTTGGACTGGTTTTTGTCCCGTCTCCCTCTCCTAACCCCTGACTGGTCACGGGAGTTGGCCCCGCCCCTCCCTGAGCCTGGTTCTGCTGGAGGTTCCTTCCTGTTTAAAGGGAGTTTTTCCTTCCCACTGTCACCAAGAACGTGCTCATAAGGGGTCATATGATTGTTGGGTTTTCTCTGTATTATTGTAGGGCCTTTACCTTATGGTGACTGCTGTTGTTAGGATATGAATAAAAGAGCACTGAATGAAACTGAAAAAGTTGGAGTGTTCAACATTTGGTACACTTGTGTTTATTACAAGCATTAAATGTTAAATATTTGTAACTATTTTAGAAGCAGACACTTGTTTGGCTTCATGTTCGTTTCCATGGAGTCCAAATAGCTCAAGACTGACTGGACAAACATGCTGAAAGGATATCTGCAAGTCATTCGCCACGACCTCCACCATTGCGTTTGAGTCATGCATGCAAAGTGGCTCGTCCTTGCCAGCAGTAAGCCGGCAGTCGAGATGAAGCAGTAACGGCACATCGCACATCATTTGCTTGTGCGACTGGCCGTAGACGGGAATTAAACACCTCGCTCTCCTCCAGCATCGGCTCCTCTGCAACTCTCCTGTCTCTCTCCTGGTTTGGCTCAATCAGACTCTTTATCCAAAGTGTACAAAATTAGCAGAGAAACAGCCATTTATGAGAACAGAAGCAGATACGATGGAGTTTAGAAGTGCTGCATGCCTGGCCTCTATCCTCAGCATGGTTACCATGATACCATGGTGATGACAAATAGGTGAGAAAAGCAATTCAAACCAGAGAAAAGAGATCATACCAGAGTAAAATTAGCTCAGTTGGACAAAAAGAAAAAAAGCAGTGAGTGTGATTAAGGGCTAATAATTATAGAAAGTATCATTCGTGTAATTCTACGTAGAAAGTTAGACCGATGGATCTGTTTGGAGCTTAAACGTGTTCAAAGTGTGTGCTAATGACCTCGTTATAGTCCAGTGAAGAATCATTGCACATCGAGCACACGGTGGCCAACTCCACAAGTCCATCATAGTCTCCACACTGGACAGGCTTGTTGTCTTTGAGTCTGAAAGAACACACACACACATAAAACATCACACTTTGCTTCACTGCACACACGGCAGTCTCACGAATACCCATGAATGGGGTTCACGTTCCACAGCTGATGGAGAAACCGTGCTCGGACGGCAGTAAGGAGTGTATCTGAGTATGTGTGTGCTCACTGCATGACAACCATGGATCTCTTCCCAGTAGAGACTGCAACCGTTGCTAGCGAAGCTCCCACACAGTAACCCACACTCTGCTGTTACGAAACCGTAGGTTCATCCAGAGTCACAGCGATGTAGTCAGCAAACGGCAAAACAAACAGCATGTATATACACAATGAACCGCAACACCCTGCCCCTGTCTACTGAACGCTTGTGCTCAGAGGCCACCTGCCTTCACTGCTGCACAGTTTACATCTCTGAGATTTCAAAAGTGTCACAGGCAACGTCAAAAAGGGTCAAAAATTCAGTTTGTCCAAGTTTGCATTAACAATAGTCGATCATTAAGGTGCTTAATGGGAGTAAAGTACAACTGAGACTTATGGGGCATATATAATTAAAGCCACATGTGCTGCAACACAACCAACTGGGACTGCTCGCTGTTTTTATGCTGCACCAACTGAAGCAAAGCTACTCAAACTATTGCTGCAAACTGAGGGTGCATCAAATCTCAGAGCACATCGATTTATTGCATTTATGTTTTATCTGGTTAAGAAGAAAGGAGGAGCTGGGAAAGGAGAGAGAGACGCTTCATTCAGTGTAGAATCTGCTGGTAAAAAAATGAAAAATCTGGAAGGCTTAACAGCAAACATTTTCCATGTAATGAGTTATTAAAGCACACAGGCAGAACAAGTAATAAATCCAGAATGGTGGTACTCACATTTGTCCCTCAGGGGCATACGTAGAACCAGTTATAGAGAACTCGTGCAGGGTGCAGCTGGAGTCCTCCACCTTGTCTAGGATGAACATCTGGAGAGAGAAAAAGACCAAAGCAAACAGAGGTGGGACCTTTAGCCAGTTACAACTGTGGCTGCTCCTCGTTTCGCAGCTGTCCACTGCTGTAAAAGATAATGACGGCTCAATTTGTGTGAGTCGGCCCGATTTCGGAGCAGTAAAAAAAAAAAAAATTCTTTCATATTTTCAGTAGCTAATTGGATCCACCCACTGATGAGGTCCTGTGGACCAAGAGAAACCGGCCGGCGATTACTGTAAGAACTGAGTGAACTAAGTCAAACAGCTTACTATAATAAAGAACACATGACTTAATGTGAATAACAAAAAAACACTGAAAGCACAAAGCAGTCACACTCCTGCTTTTTGCCACTTTTTAAGGAAACTTTCAGTTGCATCACAATCAAGAAATGTAGCTGAACTGTAATTGGTCGGCTGTGGCTCAGGTGATCCCTGACTCATACTGAAGATTGAGATGAATGCATTGGAGGCGACCTGGGAACCGATTACATACACGGACCTGACGTGGACCATTGCAACGCTCGTTTCCTTTTCTGTTGCAGATTCGTTTCTTGTCTCACGCACAGTTGCTGAGCCGTTTGTGCTGATATGCTGCGTTTGGTTGTTCAGACTCTTTGGTCTCATATGTGCAGACGTTGTTCCAGGAGCCTCGCGGTTTGATCAGACGCACTGTCGTGTTCCTTCTACAGCGAGCCGGCTACCAAACCCTTCCAACCAAGCCGTACTTGTTCAGGCTTTTTTCTGACTGTACTGTTGTAACCTTTAACATGCCGAGGCCTGCAGAGTCTGTAGCTCTTGGGCTTTTTTCAGTGAGAACTGTGGGGTCTGGGAATTTGCTGGGACGTCAAACACACACCTAAATGGTTCATGCCGGTAAACTGCCAGAGCTTCTTTTATAGATGCACAGCTGCTGATCAACTAATCTAGTGCACTTGATTAGCAGCTGGCTGCTAACGACTGGGATATAACTGTAAATATTAGACTATAGTGTGAAAGCAGCCAGAACAGAGAAGTGTGCTGGTGAAGTAACTTAGTAATGGCATTTACAAAGTACATTAGGCTAAAATTAGCCACCATCAAGGCAAAGCAGAAACGTACTGAACATATTAAAGCAGTAAAAAGTAAATACTTGCTGTAAACAGGAAGTCTTTAAGGATAAAACACAAACGAGGAGTTCTGTTTATCAAGTGTTGCTGTGATCCAGAAACATCAGCCCCTACTGCATACCGGCGTCTGCACTGTACGGGCACTCCTTTCTCCAATTTCTTTGTTTCTCTACACATGCAAGCAACACGGGAGTTGCATTTGGCTTTATCGGTCACGGTTACGAAACACGCTGTAGTGAACTGATGGAAAAGAAGTCAAGTGAAAGTAGGAGACAGAGCTGCATTCCCAGAGCACTTCAAGGACTTGTTGACTGCTTTGTTGACAAGACTTCCCCCAGGAGGCGCAGTTCACGATGTACTGCTAATGCTAATGCATCAGTAAAAACAGAAGGGAGAACAGGGGCCAGGATACGCCATCGCCCATATTCCAGTGACTGTGTCCACGCTCCTCATTTCAATGGGACAGACATTAGGCAAACAGACTTTCATTGACCTCAAGTCGTTTAACAATATTCTGTGAAAACTTCTAAAGATAAGACATGCATGGACAACATGCCCAGCTCGACTTAGTTTGAGACTGAACAAAGTCCTTTTCTTGCCTCTCGATTCTCCTGTAACTGCGAGCGTGTACGAGTCGCTGACTTAAACCCACCGATTAGTGTCAAAGGAGCTCTTGATCAGCGGCAGACTTCACCTGAGAGCAGACCGCTGTTGTTTGCAGAAAATGCAGTTTTTAAGCTATTATTCACGTAAAAACTCTCCATGACAGCAGAGTGGTACATTTACTCAGTGGCCCACAGACTTTACATGCAGCTCTTTGGCTCTGAAAGTAACCCTGGTCAAAGCTGCCTTTAACCTTCTTTTAAACTCCTGGCCAGCAGGGGGCAGCTCCTTTTTAAAAGCCAGTCTGAGAAAGACTTGTCCTGGACTCATGTTTACTTTTGGACTTTGTCACTTTGGATTCAGATATCAGCATTGAAAGCTTCCTTTTTGTCTCCACTCAGTGACTGTGACTGTGTGCAGGGTGGCCTTTACCTTTATCATGTGATGGAGCATGCAGCGTCGGTTTCACAGTCAGATCAGCTCGAACCAGTGAGCAAAACTGTCATTTTTATATATTTTTTAATTTATTTTCTTGTATCCAGTCGACACTCTTGAAATTTTCTTCATTTAGCAGTGATGTTTAAGAAAGCGGTGATGTTTTAGCAACGCACACACACACACACGCCCGTTCAGCTATCTTAGTGAGGACCTTCATTGACATATTGGTTTCCCTAGCCCCTCACCCTAACCATTAAAAATGAATGCCTAACCCTTTTTTATGACAGTTTCAATCACAAATGCAACAAAGCTCATCAGAGGGAACCAGGACGAGGGTTGCTGGGTTTAAAAGCTGCAGACAGCAGGCTGCAAACTTCCAACTACAGTTTGTAAAGGGAACCTTTTTGCTTTGCCCTGCTGCATTTTTGCAGTGACTGTGAAGGACTTATTCATCTGGCCACTCTGTAACCTGAGCCAACAGTTGTATTACAAATAACAGAGCTGTCCTGTTACAGCGGCTAAAACCTTTAGCCGGGTTTATACAACACTGTTGTTTAAAAAGTGGGACTTGTTATTCCAAGATTTTCCATTTCATTTTGGGAGGTAATGCCCTTTAAACAGCGCCGACCTTCTGTTCACTTCTTTATTTCACAAAGGTCAGCCGTCAGACTTGGTTCCTTTCTTCTGTAATAAATCAACAATGCGCACAGAGCGACACAATAACTTTCACAAAGCAGAGGCGAAGGAATAAGATGAGGTTGCTCTTTCATCCGTGGTCAGTTTTCACTCACGATCTGATCCGCTGTGGTCTCCAAGGAAACACGGCACAGTGAGATCCACCACTATCAAACGTTTTTTTCCATACTCATTTCCTCTGAGCTTGCATGGGGATGAATGGTGAGCAGCTGTTGATGTGCATTTGTGAAAGGCTTTTTAGTGCGTGCCGGTCAGAGTGTGAGAGAGAGGAGGGAAAACAGAGGTATAACGTCAGGATGCAGAGGGGAATCCCTGGAAATCCTGCTGATATGGGGATACCCCCGAGGCCAGGGAGACACATGGCATTATCAGGGCCACTGGCTGCAGACCAGTACAGGAATAAGCACAGATGGATACGCCTGAGCAAACAGAGTATAAATGGTGACGCACAGAAAGCATTAAAAAACAGACTGAGGCAGTCTTGGTTCAGCATACAAGCACCACGAAGGGGCAAAGTGAAGCTAAATATGAAGCGGACCTATCACCAGGAAACAAGTGGTGCAAGAAAAAAAAAAAAACCCTGCAAAGCGGAAGCTTGATTCATCTTTGCAACAACGCAAACGTGTATGCTCCTTATCTCACGGCAGAGAGCTGAGAGCAGCAAGCCGGGGAGTATAGGTGGAAGCAGAAGGTCAATATTTACCAACGTCTGCCTGCCTGAGAGCATTTCAGGGTTGTGGTGAGATCACTCCTCCATGTCCCTGCTGCCAGAGGGAACTCCCTGCAGCTACGCATTAATCACTCAGACGCTCCACGTCGACTCGTGGAGAAAGGAGGGGCGAGCGTTCGTACGACAAGAACAGAGAGTCGGCTCTGAAGCCATTTTGAGGTCGAAAGGAATTCACAGAGACGCCGATTATACAGCAGCTACTGTTGCTTTTTCATTTCCTGCCTATAGGAAGTCATCCTGTTGGGATATTTATAGAGCAGCATTTCATCTTATTGATCGATAGCATCTCCATCTAGCATAAAGAGCCAAGCTCTTCTTGTCCCGACGTGGACCTCCGTGGGTCCAACCTGACTATCCACCAGTATCTGTGGGTTCCCTTCATTTTTGTTCTTATTTGCCTGTTGCATTATTCTTAGGACACCATTAAGCTTTTTTCCCAAGATATATAAAAGTAACTGGTTAATTAGAGCATAATTTTTGATCAATACAATCAATTCCTCTTTGGGAAACCAATAAGCGGCCAACAATATCTCGTCTAAACAGGGTTTTGATGCTGCTCTGCTCGACTAACGAAGGTCATCATTGTGGTGAGATGGGAGATCGTGAGGACAAGAGGTGTTAACTGAGATTAGGGTGTGCATGTGTGCAGAGCTCGAACCAGGAGCCAAGTCAAACAGCAGTGCTGGTATTTACTCTGCGCTTACAGCAAAGTCGGTTAGCAAGCGACACACACACGCACACGCTAACAGACAAAGGGAAGGGTGAGGCTGTGCACCATACGAGCACTTGTGAATTGTGAACAGTGGATAAAATCTTTCAGTGTTTATCACGTATACTGAAAGCTAGAGAAAGGTTCAGGGCCTTGTGTTTGTTCAGGTGACGTTCTGGAACCCGTCACTGCTAACCGCTAACAGCCCGCGCTGGTGCTGCTAGGTCATGCCAGCCTGTGCTGCTCCTGCCAGCTGCTATCTCGAATCTGCCAAACGGAGACAAACATTACGGCACCACAGGGATTTCTCAGCATTCTTTAAGCTCCACATGCATGAAAAGAAAACCTCAGAGGGGGGAAAGAGAGACAAAAAGATCAGGATTGCACAGACTGGCAGCAACAATCCCAAAGTATTCACCTGGAAAACATTTTTTTGAGAGGGAAGACCCAGAAGTGCCGGGCACTATGATAGAAGGTGGAATTAATTACTCTACTTTGGCTGAGTTGAAGAAATCTCAGTCAGAAGCAATATCGTCACAGAAGATTTTCATTTCCTTCCGCAGTATTCGACAGCATGCTCGGCGTAAACCTGGGAAGCCTGAAGCGCAGGAGGACTGTTTGTCACTTACTCTGCACACAGACATCTGGTTGGTGGTGAGGGTGCCCGTCTTGTCAGAGCAGATAACGGAGGTACAGCCCAGGGTCTCCACAGACGGCAGGCTCCGGACGATGGCGTTCTTCTTGGCCATGCGACGCGTGCCGAGGGCCAGGCAGGTGGTGATGACGGCCGGCAGGCCCTCGGGGATGGCGGCCACTGCCAGGGCCACGGCAATTTTAAAGTAATAGATGGCCCCTCGAACCCAGGAGCCCCCGTGGACCGGGTCTCCGAAGTGGCCGATGTTGATGACCCACACAGCCACGCAGATCAGGGAGATGACCTTTGAGAGCTGCTGGCCAAACTCGTCCAGCTTCTGCTGCAGCGGTGTCTTCTCTTGCTCCGTTGACGCCATCTGATTACGGATCTTCCCGATCTCTGTCGAGACACCCGTAGCAACGACGACACCTATGGCACGACCGGCAGCAATGTTTGTGCCCTGAGAGAAGGACAGAGACATACGCACAGGGAAGTCAGCACAAATCCGCCGTCATCTGGGAGAAAACAGACAAACTCCGTCACCAGCTCACAAACAGCAACATGGCCGATTACTACGAGTTTGGCCACGAGACAAGTGAAAGAATGTGATAGCTGCCATTACTGCTTTTGACTACGTGACCAAATGTAAGGACTAATGTAGCTTTGTCTGTGACAACATGAGTTTTTGATTTGAAAGCTGAAGATAAGCACGAGTCGGGGGTTCTTACAGAAAACAACATGTTCTTTTTGTCCTGGTTGACGGCTCGAGGGTCAGGAACAGGGTCGGTGTGTTTGATGACAGACACAGACTCTCCTACAGAAAACAAATCGAGACGGTTGGAGGTGTAGCAGGTGATTATCAGACCGTGTTTCAAAGCAAACACAGTGAGGAGAAAAACATCAACGGAGATTTTGGTTGCAACCAGTTATTGGGAAGCCATGGAGAGGAGCTTCTGGTGAGATGTAATAAATACCTGTGAGAATGGACTGGTCCACGCGCAGGGTGGTGGACTTTATCGAGGTCACTCTGATGTCAGCAGGCACCTTGTCACCAACTAAAAGAAAAATATTAAGAGATTTAAAATCAAATGTACAAAAGCAAGCAGCTCTGTTGGGCTACATTTAGACTTCCTGTGTTAGCACCTTGACATCACTCCATCAGGAGTTACAGGTAACTGGAGTTAGGGGTGGCTGCAGCTCAGAGCGGGTCACCTGCTAATCAGACGACGACCGATCCACTGTTAATGTGTGTGTCCGGTTTATAGAAAGCAGTTAGGGGTTAAAAACGTGCCTGTATGACAGCGTGTGAAAGAGCACCTGTAGACAGCTCAATGATCATTTCTCTAACTATTTGAAAACCTTGATCTGCTCGTGTTCTCCTGAAAATGATTCACATTCTGCTCCCATCACAAAAGAGCCTTAATCCTCAGACGACTATAATCGATGCAGTATTAGTACTGTACAAATACACACACGTCAGTAAAGGGTGTAGGGGCAGCTGCAGCTCAGGAGGTAGAGCGCGTCATCTGCTAATCAGAAGGTTGGTGGTTGGATCCGGTCTGCAGGACAAATATTAGCATCTTAGTGGAAAGATGGCCAAGATGCTCCCGAGGAGCTGGGAAGTGTTCGAATGTTAGACAGGAAGCACTTATGTAGAAAAAAAAGTGCTGAATGAGCACGTTGCATAAAGCACTGAGTGCTCAGAGTGCAGAAGCACCACATGAGAAGCCATTCATTTACCAGTTAAAGAGACAACAGGTAACAAGTTCTGCTCATTTCGGTGTTTTGCAGATGGACACTCAGTTACGTCCCTATTTAACGTCTGTGCTGAAACAATAAATCCTGAAGCATCGGTGGGTTCAGTCCAGGCTCGGGCTGCAGGTAAACAACAGCTCGATACAACCTTGATGGAGTCGCGTAAAATGATTGATTATTTCCTTCTGTGTCCTCTCTGTTCCTCTAACACAAACCACACCTGAACCCTGCGTTAAAGGCTCAAATTAATTCCATCTCCAACGGTCTCGAGTCTGCTTATTAAGCCTGCATATTAAACTCATAATTCATAGCCAAAACAAAATGGTTATTACTTCCTCTGTGTCAGGGCCTGACAATGAACATTTAACGGAAATATTTTCATAATAACAGGGCAGACTGGTGATTAATGGATCGTCTGATGCAGTCAGTGACAATGATCTCAGCGCACAGGAGTGGGAAGCTGCTCCAAATACTCCAGACAGATGTAATATTCTTCAGTTGTTTCCTTCCAGCAGGAGAGAAGAAGAGAAGGAGCTGCTCATTACTTTGTGTAATAAGCGACTCATTAATGCCAGCTCAGAGTGCTCAGCTATCACGACTTCTCAACGGTGACGGCACCAAAACAGAGGACTCCTGCTTTTCCTCGCCAGGCAGCGGCTCTGCTGTTGTACGAGCACGCTTACACGTGAGAGTGGTCTCGCAATTCTGGAGCTTTTTTCCATCATCTCTTCATAACATTTGTTCAGCGCTCTGACACCTGAGGTGATGGCCTTCGTCTCGATGGGACGGAGGTACCTTTCTCCACCTCCGACACGGCTCAGAGAGAACACGAGTGGGAGAGCGTGTGTGTTGTTGTGTTTGTGTGGGAGATGGCTGGGGGCTACAGGTGGCCGAGGGCAGGAAAAGAGAGACTTTTCAAACGCCCACCCACAGACTCCTGCTCCCCTCACTGCCACAGCCTCCCACAGACACTTTCCATGTGCTAGAAGGGAAATGTAAATCCTAATACGGCTTTTATATATTATAAAAATCTGATATTTGTCTGGCTTTTATCGTTAGCCGTCTTAATAAATCTGAATCCAACACATGCAGCTCTGAGGCGGTGTTCTTGCATAACATCCTGGTGACATGCAGGATAACCGTGACTTGTTACTGGGAATGGCTGGTTGCAGGTTTCCTTTTCTTCGGGTTGTCTGTAAATCCTGGAGTTCCTGACAACCTGACCGCGGCAGTTAAGTCAAAGAAAGAGGAAAGTTCCAGTGGAGGCGCAAATCACAAATGTGCTGTAACCGTGGCTGGCACTGGCAGCAGGGAGCAAGAGGGCAGGCGGGCACCGGCAGTGGAAACCTGAGTAAATATATTTATGCTCTTTTCTCTCCTCAAAGGCACTTGTGGTCTACAGCGTCTTTTTCCAATACCTTCATACAGTTTACTTCAGCCCCTCGCATTAAGCTAGCATGGAATAACCGCTGGCTGATACAAAGTCCAGGAAAGCCTGAGAAAACTCACTGGAGAACGGGATGAAATATCCCGACATGCTTCCTTTGGAGCGATCCCCAACAAGCATCCTTTCTAAAGAGAGCGTGCTGCCCTGCCTACCTCAGCTGCCTAGCAACAACATTATGTCAAAGAAAACAAAGCACTGAATGTATGAATGTGTATGTTTAACAAACCACTAGTTACACCCAGTTAACCAGTGCTCTGGAAATGTATTTGATACTTGAGACAAGTTACTGTAACCCGTGAACATTTTAAACCTTATATGGTTCTTAAACATATATTTGAATTTTCCCTATAAACTTCTATGTGTTTAGATCAGACACTTTATGTACGCGTCCGTCTGTTTATCCAATCAGCTGACGTGCTTTGGGGCACATCTGTAACGAAACACTCACAGGCGCCGCCCTTACTGTAGGCGCCTTCACTCACCAGAACATCAGAGTTCGTCAGAGCACATTTGATTTTATTTGACCCGCCGACAATTAAAGAAAAACGTTTTTGTCCACAGTGTTTGTTTGCAGTTACTAAACAGTCAGCCTAAAAATAGTACAGATAACACGGAAGATTAAAACAAACAACAACAACAAAGCAAGCTCCTCTGAGTCGCAGCGTGCCCCCCCCTCCTTTATGGGAGCTGCTGACACTCAGCAATAATATCAGAGGCTTTATTCAAACAGCAGATGGGAGTCACATCTCTCCCTGCTTCACGCTGTCATCAACAGGTGTCGTTAAAACCTCAAGCTCTTGTGAACTTGAGCACCGTGGTGATGAGTGGAACTGAGCGGGGGGGTTGTCATGGCGACACTGTTGGTGTTGACAGTGACGGTGATGGTAGTGGCGGTAGGCGGGAGCTAAGCGGAGTCATTTCGGTCCTTGCTACCTGTGTGGGCTTGCCTGCGTCTGGCTGCGAGGACGCTGGCTGCAACAAGCCCAAATTCCAAGCAACTGCTATGAGTTACAAAAACAGCACGCTAAATAAGTGCAACCAGTAAATAAGACATGGCAAAGAAAGAGAACATTTGTTTAAAGAGAATGTGAACTGTAGTGTGGCTGTGGGTGACAGTTAAGCAAACGGATGATTGATTTAGTCTCAGTTTTACAACCTCGCGTTGAAATCCGAGGCTTCGCTGCCACCAGCGCAGCACGTATAATCTCTCTGCGCTTCTGAATGAAGGCTGCCAGCTCCCTCCTTTCCCACACATTGCTCCGAGCCGCCTGAGACAAATCGCCAGTCACGCAAAGCTCAGGATTACCATCACCACCCCCCTCCGACCCAAAACGGCCACGTCGGTGGCAAAGCGGTCTCCTCCATCCTGCGTTTGCAGTTCAGCTCTGGCATACACAGATGTTTGGGAGCCAGAGCGACAATGCGGCTATTTTTAATCAGAGGCTGCCCACACATGGGCGAGTTTACAGCAGGGGAATATTGTGTGTAAGCGAGGAGCTGACAAACATCAGGCAGCCTCCAGGTGGTGAGACTGAGAGCATGGAAAGCAAAGGGGAAACGGAAAGCTGTGGAAAATTCAACTGGGCCTTAAATATAAGGAGTGACCACAGCCACTTGCAAAGAACCAAACACATGCACACAAAAACAGACACTGGACAGCAGCCCTGGCACCTCCACATCCAGAGAAAAGACTCTTATGTAATCTGCATTGAGTGTTTCCACGCTCACAAAGGTTGTGCGAGTGTGCGTCTGTGTGTGCGAATGTGTTAAGGAGAGCATAAAAGCAGCTAGGTGAGACAAGCCAAGCATAAATTAGCCCGAGTGAGTGACAGTAAGAGTTCGGCCCGGTGCAGCCGCAGCTAACCTGCCACCTCCACTATATCTCCTGGGACGATGTCTCTGGCTTTGATCCTCTGGACCGCCTTGCGGTTCATGCGATACACCTTTCCCATCTCAGGTTCGTACTCCTTCAGAGCCTCAATGGCATTCTCGGCATTCCGTTCCTGTGAGATACGGAAAAGAAAAGAAAAAAGTTAATTGCAAGAACAATTTGATGTCCTTTTGATTTGACGTGATGTTCAGTGAGCAAACTCTGCTCATTGCAAAGATGACATCTCCTAATGTGTTGGTGTTTTGCATGGGCTCTGTGGTTTGTTTATGTTGATGAACAGCCTGATCCCTCTGCAGTGTGCTATATGGATGCTAACACGTGTCACTATGGTGTCAGTTTGATTAGTACACACACACACACACACACACACACACACACACACACACGCCCAATGGAGTATAAAATAAAGACCGGGGCAGTGCTCAGCGCGAGTCTCT